AAAATAAAATACTCCAATACAATCGTAACTGCTCTATAACGCACTTGAATCAACATTAGATTCGTCAAACGCAAATATATTTCATAAAAAATTCAATAAAACCATTCAAATATATAAAAATAACTAAGAGTACATACAAAAAATGAACTCCACATATAAATATTTGTTCTAAAAACAAAATGTGCTCAAATTTTGACTTGCCAAAAAGTTCTTCATGTGCATTCCATAGTGAAGTTTTATCGTAGAGATTATTATTTTTCAATTATTGTTCAAGTTTTGTTCGCTTGCAACCTCATTAGAGAACAGTTTTATGTTCTGCATAAAGTTGGCCTAAATCAATTGAAAAAAAAAAACAAATGTTTACCTTTAATATGTGCATCAAAATATGTTATATGATCAGCTGGCTCGAGTTTCGACTGTACTCAAAGTTAGATTGGGCGTTCAACTGGAACTCGTGTTTGGAACTAACGGGCATTCGTTATAGCAGGGGATGACTGTATCTAGCAAAAACTTGTTTTTCCAATTAGCCAAAATGTAGGAGAACATTTCTTTGAGTTTGAGCATCGCATCCCCGTGAGAATAAAACGTTTTGATTTTTTTTTACTATGTTTTGTCGTACTATTGAAAAATGTTGCACACATTTGCCGGAGCGCTGAGCATGTGCGTCATGTGGCACGGCCTGGGCAATTTAATTGTCACATTAGCGAGCAGGCATCAAATGGGCGACACTGCGCCAGAGTCTGTCCATGTCTATATAGTTAGTCACCTTAAGGGCAACTATTTGCTTGGCTGACAGCCGCCAGATGATTTAACTCGACTGCACTCCACACACGAGACTCGAGGCGACTTGCGGCCACTCTTCTCGGTTCAATGCACCCAGTTGCACTAAAAGCAGCAGCAGCAGCAGCAGCACCAGCAACAACAACAACAACAAGAAGAACAACATGAGGCAAGCACTTTAACCGCACTTTGTCGTCATCCGCATCCTTGTCATCATCGTCATCGTCATCGTCATCGTCGTCTGTCAAAGGCAAGATTCTTCAGCTGTTGTTAAAATGCAGCAAAGCCTGCAAAATGTTATTGTTAGCTTGAAGTGTGGAAGTGTTTGAAGTGCGGGGCGGGGCAGGGGTGGGGAAATGCTACTGAGTGCACTTTTCAACTAGCAAATGCATTTCACCCACACGGAACAGTCGTCGACTAAATTGATGCACACGTCTCTCTCTCTCTCTCTCTCGCTCTCTCATCCGCGCTACGCCTCACCTCGACTCACCTTGTCGTCGCATTTGGGCAATTGGAGCTGCAAGTTGCTTACCTTTTGGCTACTCGACTGCAACACCCGCCTGGCAATTTGCACCTTGTTAACAAACTTTTATTTTAATGTTATTTATCTTATTTGTTTTTCTCATTTGCAATACAAGTTTGCGTAGCTTGACATTGTCGTTGTTCGTGTGGGGGCGCCATCGGCATTGTGCAACTCTCGTATTTTTTGCAAAGTGCATTTAATTTTGTTAGTTTTTCTGTTTCCGAAAACTGACCCGGCACACAAGATGCCGTAAATAGGCTTAATTGCTGGTCGATGCAAAATCAAAATAAAGATGCATTCGTTGATGGCAGCAAATCAAAGACCTCACCAGGCCCAGAGTTCGAAAGGGGACGGGAACGGAGACGGAGACGGGGACGGAGTCGGGCAGCCAAACTCAATTGAGAAAGTAAACAAACAAATCGAATAGGAAAACGCAGCTAACGCAACACTTGAATAATTGAGGAAAAACCCAAAACGGGCGACTATCGAATAGACCATCGCAGCGAAATGGAATAACATTTATAAGCGAAGAGCTCTAGTCTCTAAATGCCCGACTAAATAATATCCTGTAGCCACAATTGGGACAAAATGCTTGATCATATGAGTGCAGTTTTTCTGCAGGTCCGAAGCTCTAGCATGAGGTGTGAAGTATACTAACTGTGAAATATTTTAAATCTCGCACGAGAATATATACATATATCATATCATATCTATATTTATCGATATTATTGCTAATTTCCATGGTTTACTTTCAAATTGTCGAGTGACTGAAAAGCTAACAAAAAATTGCATTGTTAAATGCTTGAGTCATTTAAGTTTCCACCCATTCTTGCGAAATTTGAAAACGATCGATTGCGGCTTCTTCTCCTTGCTCTGCGCTAGCAGAAGCATAATTGACATTCCATTGCTTCAAGTCAGCCGTTAAACAGCTTTGATCTGCAGCAGCAGCAGTCGTCTGTCAAATATATATCCAAGCCCCAATCTGTTGCCCTCGACCGCCCCCCTTTCGCCCTCATTCTCCTCTGCGAAACTATCTAAACACAAACAACGCAAATTGTGCAATAATTTTGCTGCTCCATTCGAAATCTAGCGGCAAAGGTGAATGTAAATATTGAAGCAGCTTGCCTCAATCTTTTTACCACCCCCGCTGTCGTTTTAATAACTCTCCCCCTCCCCCTGCCGCCCGTACATTCCGCTAGCAGCAAGCCGATTAGGCACGTGCACGCGCCGCGCGTTTTGCGAGCGTTTTTAAACGCCACCTTATTTGGTCGTCTCCGTTTTGGCGAACTGAGAATTGTGCGTCACATAGATGGAGCCAAAGCAATGCCTTGTATGTGCCTCTGCCCAGCCAGCCAGTAAATGCCAAAATACCGACTCTGATCGATGTAGCTGATGGTTCCCAAATCTGAATCTCGCTCGGATCGATCGCTGTCGCTGCCAAAGCTGACCATTTTAGAAGCCACTCGATATTCAAATTCACACTTGACCAAAAGTCGCAAAAGCACAGTGGAGTAATTCGCCAAAATTTATTGATAAAAATACCAATCGAAATATGGCGGGTATCTAATTTAGTTTAAGTTTAGTTTCTTAACGAAGCATACTCTCAATTATTGTTACTATAATGAAATAATATAGATATATAATTGAAATGCATTTAAGTCAACAAATATTCTACCTCTCTCCATATGACGGCTTCTTTTTTTTAAGCACTATTTTGCCTATGAGCTCCATAGTATGTGAAGCTTATAACGTTGTCGCGATTTAATGAACCATTAAAAAAGGGCAATACGCGTGGGAGTGGCCGGCCAAACGGCGCAACACAACAACGTTGACCAACCATGAACTCACTCACACACACACACACACACACACACACACACACACATACACACACACATAGTACACACATCTATGCTTGCACAGTTGGTCCGTTAGCCAGAATGCGCCCTGCGACAAGGTTTTTAGACTAACCTTTAAAAGTTCACTAACCAGCTACTGCTGCCGCTTCTGCTAAGAACTGCTGCACGCCCACGCCTCACCCTCGCAGCCAGCCGCTTCTGGTCACATCTCCAGTTCAGTTAACAGCTCAGCTGCGTCATCTGGCAACAACAACAACTTTCAAGTCGTGCCTTACGTAAGAGCGAGCCGCTAAACTTTATGACCGATCAGCAGCAACAAGACTGAAGACCTTGCCCAATTAGTCGCAGTGCTGCACCAAAAAAAAAAAAAAAACAGAAAAAAGAAAAAAGAGAATAAGAAAAAAAGTGTAATTAAATGAAATATAAAAAATAAATACACAAAAGCTGTGTAAATGCACCTGCAACCAGCACGGAATGCTGACGGAAGAGTAAGGCTTGGCAACATGTTGCCAAAGCCAGATGCAAATGTTGCTGGCGCTAATTGAATTGATTGACGCCCGGCTCCAGTTGCGCTTGCCTCTGTTCGTGTGTCTCCATCTGCTGCATGCAGCTTCGGTGCGTGGCAAGCACGAAGAGAATATTTCACCTTAATGGCCACAGCCGCAGCAGAGAACGTTGTCCTCAAGTGGCGACACATTTGACAATTTGTGAATGTTGCTGCTGCCGCATGCTGGGGTGGAGGAGGGGTTCTTGGGCGAGGGGCAGGCAACAATTAGAAACCAGTCCGTGTGAAGGCGACGACAGCCCAGCGCCTTATATCGTTCCTTATGGCATACCCCAACTGAAAACTGGGCATATTGCTCTTGGCGCAGCTTTTGAAATTTTGTACTTCTATTATTTTTCTATACTTTTGAACTGTATAAACTGTGTTCTTTGTAGTCTAACAAATTTGATAAACTGATATTGACTATATAAAATAATTATTTATATAAAAATTCTATATAAAATTTATAACTTATATAAAAATATATAAATTCGTAAGCTTTAAGAATTAATATGCAATCATATAAAAAAAGTTCTGAAAATAATTTTGAAGGCATAAATGTTAATTCGGAGAAGAAAAAAGAATTAGAATTAGAATTGTATATGTTTCATATTATTTTTGAATATATTTATATTAATATGTAGTGTAAAATATAGTTTTATGCCTATGCTGGGCTTCTTTCTTGCTCATGCCCGTTGAAAGAGATTTTGCCTGGATGAAGGCTTGCGTGATGCGTCTTCAGCTTGTTTTGGCGCTGTCTGTCGTGGCTACCGAGCTGCAGCTGCAGCTGGAGCTGGAGCTGGAGCTGGAGCTGGAATTGGACCTGGATCTGGTGCTGTGGTTGGGGCTGGGCTAACTACTTACCGACTTATTTGGTATGCCAGATTTGTCGCTGTTGTTGTTGTTGTTGTTGCTGTTGTTGTTAGTGTTTGCCGGAAGCGCAATTGCTTCATTATGGCACGTACTTTGTCAAAGGCGTTTCGACAACGCGACTTTGACGTCGTCCCACCCGTGCTCCTCTCCCCTTTCTGCTTTCGTAGCCAGCCTTGTTGTCATTCCGCTCTTCGATGAGTCGTTGAGTCACTTTGGGATGTCTCATGGCTGTGGATGTCGCTGGCCGACAATTGGGCAGTCTTTTATGAATGAAACTAGAGGCGCGTGTGGGCCGTCAGTTGCCCGTTGCCAATTGCAGACCAATTGCAGACCAACTGCAGACCAACTGCAGCTGCAGCTGGTCTGGTTTGTTTGCTAGCCAAAACTAATCCGTCGTCTCTCTTTTTCTATATTATTGCAGGGGCAAATTTGCGGCTGTTCGCCGGGCGGTACACAAGAATACCGGTTTGCATTTCGCTGCCAAATTCCTGAAGCGACGCCGACGCGCCCAGAGCAGCGACAAGGAGATCAAGCACGAGATTGCCGTCCTAATGCTATGCGAGGGCGAGGATAACATTGTCAATCTGAATGCGGTGCATGAGACGCGTTCCGACACGGCCCTGCTGCTGGAGCTGTAAGTATATAAGCATAACAATCATAATAATATTAATAGTGGGATGCATCAATCACATCGTTGATTGATTGATTGCCAAAGACTTTTGCAGCAAACGTACAAATACACTAGACATGGCTGATGGTACCTTATTCCGCAGAACAATTTGACCGACTGATTGACTGACTAACTGATTGATCGTCTGACTGATTGACTGACTGACTGACTGTTTGACCTACTGATTGACTGACTGACTGACTTGCAATGATTAAGTTCAGTTTCTTCAACATAACATCACCTTTTTCGTAAAACTGTTTATGCTGACTGACTGTGTGATTGACTGACTCACGATTGATTTCTTAAATTCACACATACGGCTGGAAAACGGCTGATAAATCGAAAAGAAAATATGCTTAATTCGTTCCTCTTCCGTTTATAGGGCCACTGGCGGCGAGCTGCAAACGATACTGGACAACGAGGAGTGCCTCAGCGAGGCGCAGGCGCGCCACTGCATGCGGGAAGTGCTGAAGGCTCTCAAGTTCTTGCATGACCGTTCCATAGCGCATTTGGATTTGAAGCCGCAGAACATCTTGTTAGCCGGCGAACGCATTGAGGGTGAGTGATCACAGTTGAGTGGCCAACTAATTGAACTAATTTCGCTGACAAGCCGCTGCGCTTTCCCCATTTTGTTTGCAGATGGCCTCAAGCTGTGCGACTTTGGTATCTCGCGCGTCGTCTGCGAGGGCATCAATGTGCGCGAAATGGCCGGCACTCCGGATTATGTGGCACCGGAGGTTCTCCAATATGAGCCCTTGTCGCTGCTCACGGACATTTGGTCGGTGGGCGTGTTGGCCTATGTGCTGCTCTCGGGCTTCTCGCCCTTTGGTGGCGACACCAAGCAGGAGACCTTCCTCAATATCTCACAGTGCGCTCTAACCTTTCCCGACAATCTCTTTGGCGGCGTCTCCCAGGCGGCAATTGATTTCATACGCCGCGCATTGCGAATTAAGCCAAAGTGAGTGCAGTTCAATCTTGAATTCTGTGCAGAATCTTTAACTAATTCTCTCTCTCTTTTTCTCACTCTTTAGCGATCGCATGAATGCCGCAGGCTGCCTTGAGCATGTCTGGCTAAAGGATGAGTGCTCTTTGCACAGACAAATCTATTTGCAAGCACAGAACGATGCCGACTTTGTGCAGGATGATGAGGACGAAGATGATGAGGACGACGATGAGGAGGAGGAAGATGATGAGGAAGAGGCACAGAACGTGTCACAGCAACAGCAACAACAGCAACAACAACAAAACAGCACAACAGCAGCAGCAAACACAACAGCAGCAGCAACAACAGCCAGCAAAGCAACGCACAACGGGCATAGAGCACACTCCAGCTCGAAAATACCAATTGCCACTAGCCACAAGCTGAGCTCCCCCAGCACAGAGACAACAACAGCCATACACACACTGCCCCAAGCACTGACCATGTCGCTGGCGACAAGCACGACTGCTGCTGCTAGTGCATCGACGAAACCCACACAGATTGTGACACCAACGCGACGCGCCTCCGATTCGGATAAGGAGAACACATATACGGCGACATTTGTTAAGAAGCCGGTGGCCAGCACGGCCACCATACAGATTGGCAGCAATGGGCTAGAGGAGACGACAGTGATTGCCACATTGGCGCTGTTCCCGGATGCGCCCACCACGCCCAAAGTCATACGCAAAACGCCCGCTACGGAGGCCAGTTCGGCCACATCGGTCAAGGCGCTGGTTAAGAAATTTCAACTGGAGGAGCTCGAGGCACAGCACACTTCACCCAACAGCACATTGCCGCACTGCTCCAGCTCCGCCAACAGCAGCCATGCGTCAGCGATTCAGACGCAACTACAGCTCCAGCAGCCGCGCAAATGCTCCGTGCCCAGCGTGTGTGTGTTGCCAGCAACCAGCAGCAGCAGCCACAGCAGCAGCAGCAACGGCAGCAACATGCGGCGCAGCATCAGCGGCACTGCCAGCAGTAGCAACAGCCACAGCCACAGCAGCAGTCACGGCGGACGACGTGCCTCAGAGCCGCTAACCGCTGTCCATAAGAAACAGCACAGCAACAACAACAGCCCAAACTCCATTTCCAGCAGCAGCAACAGCAGCAGTAGCAGCAGCAGCAACAGTAGCAGCTCGGGATCGACTGCAGCAACTGGCAGCAGCAGCACGGCGCTGCTGTTGAATGGTAGATTGCCGCAGGCAGCGCATCATTTGCATCATCATCATATGCACCATCATCATCATCACCATCATCATCATGTGGTAATTGCCGCCAAGAATGCGGCTGCTGCTGCCACCAACAACCTGAGCTTGGACCAGGGCATCATCTGTTAGCTAAGGGCCAGCCGTGCGCGCCGCAATGCCAAAAGTTTCTTTCACCGCTTCCTTTGCTGCATGTAACAGTGCCTGAACGTGTAGGCGTGATCAGCCAGCCCCTAGCTGGGCTGCTGCTGCTGCTGTTGTGGCTGCTTCTGCTGCTGCTGCTGCTGTTGCTGCAGGTGCGGCAGCTGCAGGTGTGAGTCGCAACACCAACGCCTGCGCGTGCTCGGAAGTTTTGTTTGATTTTGAGTTTCTTAGTTAATGTTATATAGCGCCTAGTTGATCTAAACAAAAAAACAACCACTGTACCACACTATTGTACCACTGTACCACTAACCCAGCCGATTTCCCAAGTAACCTAAATACTGTTTAAGTTTATCTGGAAATATATCTATATATACATAGGTATATGCATATGTAGATGGATATATCGTCTATTTCGTAAGAGTTGCCGTTGTCAGCAGGCAGCACACGGTTAACGCGTAAATTAATTATTAATGATCCCGCGGCAGACAGAGATGTTAAAGGAAAGAGATAGTTACAGAGATAGAGAGAGAGAGAGAGAGAGAGGGTGTGAGTGTGAGTGCGTGAGTGAGAGTGAGTGAGAGAGATCGAGATGGAGAACATAGTTGAGAGTGCGCAAAAGGTTGCAACTTGCAATTAATTGGAAGATATCTATTTAAATTACAAAAGGTAAATGATTTGAGACATATCAGTCGTTGTGTTGTGCGTGCATGTGTGTTTGTGTGTGTGTGTGTGTGTAGTAATTTGTTAAATTCGATGGGCAACGTTTCACATGTTTCAACGAATTCAAATACGTCAATTCAGGACAAATTTAACGTCGTCTGCATAGCATAAATTAAATAATACAAATTATACAACTAAAAACAAAACATACCAAAAAAAAAAAGAAGAAAAAAACGAAAAAGAAAAAGAAAAAAAATTGAATTAGAGCGCAGAAAATTCAGCAATATTTGTTGATCATTTTCTATATGGATTGTGAATTTGTAGCTGAATGAATTAAATCGTATTTATATACATACAAATACATGCATATATATATACATATATATATATGTATATATAATGTTGAGCGCCATTTGGTAATTGTTTGTTAAACGATTCACATACAGCAAATGCATTCATAGCATAGTTCATGCATTAATTAATTAATTATAACCAAAATACGATGAATATATGAAGGTAGTCGCAGTTGTTCGCGAAACGGTAGTGGATAGATGAAAATTGATTGTTCAAGAGTTAATGCATATATAATATATACATATACATACATTTACATACTATACATATACATTTATATATAGAGAATGTTATCAGCACCGAGCTAAGAAATGGCAGTAATGAAAAATGAAATTGTTTATTGTATTGTGCGTGTTCTCGTGCTCAGTACATAATTGTCGCCTGGCATGCCACATACCATATTTGAATATGAATACTTGACTATCTTATTGTATCAGAAATGATATATTTTCAGTTATGGCCCCGTCCCCTTCCAAATGCACCCGAATGCCTATCTTGAGTTATTTATGCACCTCACACCTCGCTCGCATCCACACCTCCAACTCCTCTCTTTCGGAATATACTTATCTGGTTTTTAGTTGCTAACTTCTGAACCCAAATCGGTTTCTGTACATATAATATCTGTTTCAACGCCCTGACCCTAGGCACTAGCCTGGCGTGATTACAATTAATTTTTTTTTTTTTTTTATTATTATTATAATAATTATTCTTTTTGCATTCAAGAGAAGAGATATATGCATAGAGTTGGGCAACAGTTAAGTATGCATTATGATGTATTTATTAGGCAAAGTATTGGTGTGTGTGGTCAGTTAATTGTTAAATTGAATAATTAATTTATCATAATTACGGTTAATTGAGCGCCCTTTTTTATTTTAATTACCATTAAATACTTGCGTAAAAGTAATTTTCTTATTTAAATAACCTAATACCACATTACTTTTTTTTTTTTTTCTTCGTTTACTGTATATTAATAGTTAAATGCAAGAGCGCAGCAACAATTATGAGAAAGAAAACAGATTCGTGAATTGTGCGTTTGATTTGATAGTAATTTTTTTTTTTTTTAATTCACTTTTTGTGTTTTTAGAGAAAACGGCAATGATGAAAAGAAACAAAGATGAAAATTCTATATTATATTATATATAGTAATTATTTTATAGATAACTAATTTAAAGTATATTCAATAAAATTAAAAAAAAAAAAAAAAATACATGTATATGCCCAAATATTTATATGAAATCGGAAACGAAATTGAATTTGAATACGTTTACATTATATGTTATTTATATGTGTGTGTAATCAGCATCGGATCGAGGACTACTCCAGCAAATCTATTGGTATCTGATAGCTGTCATAGACGCCCGCAAATTTGATTACCCAGCCGATGCCGTCATAGTTGACCGTCTTGTGGAAACGCACATACAGCTGGCTACGTTTGCTGAGGTAGACGCGGGGCTTATCCTCGCCGCAGAATCGTCGCATTTCCTGAAGGCTGCCATGTTCGTTCACCTCCTGAATCAGCAGATAGTCCGTGTGGCAGGTGGCCTTCGAACCAAGATCGAAAGCTGCAAGCATAAATAGATATAAATATATATGTCTATATATATGGCCCAGCATTGGGAGGCTATGGATTAGCATATTTACATGCAAAATTGAGCAGGACACGCGTGTTGCTCGGCACACGGACACTCCAGCTGCAAATGGAATTATTGCGCACATTCTGCGGATAGAACGGATTGGAGAATACGCCCTCTGTGTTGTACAGGGCACCACCGCAGCCGGGTCCGTCCTGGACGGGCGATGCAATGTACGTCACATCGAAGCTATTGAAGAAGCTGCCCGTCTTAAAGTGCAGCCGCAGCTCGTTGGTCGTGGTAAAGAGGCTCTTGCCCGGATCCAGGTAAGCGCACGCACGCTGCAGCGATTTGTTGGTAATCTTATCGAAGACTTCAACGTACTCCACATCACAATCGGCTGTGCCAAAGATCACCTCGGCAAAGTAAAGACTAAGTGTGTAGTTAGCTGGAGCTACGATTTGTGCATCGCAATCGGTGATCTCCGAAATCTTAATGCGTCCCTGTAAACCGCCATAACTATACTGACAGCTGGCATCTGGCACTATGAGAATTCTGAAGCCGGGCCTCGTTACGGCTCCATTGGTGCGGAACTTGATGTACACCTGCTTCGAGTTGGGATAGTAGTCATCGGGCAAGCCGCTGCCACAATACACATGCTCCGTGGCATAGTTGAGGAAGAACTGGACATTCTTCTGTCCATTAAAGATCACCTCATCGCCATAGCCCTCTTCCACCAGCTGTGCATCCTGTTTGCAAAACGGTCAAGAAATATATTCCAGGTAAGTGTTTGTATGTAAATATCTAAGTTTTGATAGTGTGTACTTATCATATATATCTTGTACTTTTAACTTAGATCGTTTTTAATATAATAGGGAGAATATTTGTAACAGAGATATGAGAAGAAAAAAATCAGCTTTCCAAGTCCTTGTTCGTAAGAATCTTCAATGTTAAATCTAAAACTCGCTGATTGTGTAATACTCGTTCAGAGTTAAATAATTGCTTTAAAGAAACGACCTAAAAATGCTTCGATTGAAAAAGATACAGATCTATCCGATTAATCTTAACATTCATATGAACAGATGGATATTGCTCAAGATTAATATGCGAAATATTTCCTTGAATTGTGGGCAACATTGGGAAAAGCTTGCAGTTGGTTTTCTTCTGGCTCTTATGGTTTATCGAAAGCTGGACTTAGTTCTTACCTCGCTGTTGTAGATTTTTATAAAGTCCGAAACGCAGGCACCCGTCGCATTGGCCGACTCCAGGTCGAGGCTAATGAATTTGAGATGCAGCGATATTTCGCTCTCGATCTTCCACAGGCAGAGGATGTTGTTGTCGTAGTTGCCCTGATCGTTGACGGGCGAATGAATTTCCAAAGGCTGTTTGCCATCCAGCTTGATCAAGGGATTGCCGCACAGCAGCGGCCTGGCCGTGACGACCAGCTCGAAGCCCGTGTCGGTAACCTTGTTGTCGGTGGCGAAGCGCATGAAGAGGATGTGGCGCGAGGCGCTTAGCTTGGGCGGCAAATCCTGGCCACAGAATCGTCCAATCTCGTCGGCAAAGGGTCCGGCGCCGTCGCGCAACTCCAAATAGTCGGCGGTGCAGCTGTTTGTCGCCTCCACGTGGAAGCTGCGGAACTCGACGCTTATCTGAGAGCCAGCGCTCGCCTGGAACACAAAGCTGCAGTCCAAATTATTGGCATAGGAGCCGACAAACTTGTTGAACGTATAGCTAGCATTATTCTCGCCTAGAAAGATGCGCTCATCACAGTTGGGCATGAGCCGCACCAGCGCGCGGAAACCGCGCGACGGATCCCGCTCATCGGAATAGCTATGGATCAGCGCCCGATTGCTGGGAATATGGAGCGTGGGCAGATTATCGGACAAACGACCACAGAAGCGGGCCATGCGCTGTCTCTCATTCGGCACGGGGCTGGCAAACACCTCAACGCCATCGTAGCTGCACAGCTGATTGCCGGCCTCAAAGTCCAGCAGCTCGAACTTGATGGTGAACTTTTGACCCTCGGGCGCCGTCAGATTCCAGTAGCAGTCGCTGTTGTGCGGCATTTGGTTGTCCTGATGCTGGCGCGGCGACTCGACCATCTGCGTGGCGTTAATGACACCGCCGCAGAGCCTAGTGCTGTATTCCAGCTGGAAGCCACGTCCGCTGAACGACAGGTCCGAGCGCAACAGCAGGCTGATGGAGCGCTGGGCGCGATAGGCGTGCTGCTGCTTGACGCCGCACAGCAGCGACTCCTGGTTGTGGCCGCCATTGTCCCTGGTGATCACCGTCATGTTATCAAACAGACACATGTTCAACGGCGAGCGCTCCAGATCGAAATCGAGAAAGCTCACCAGCACGCCCGGCGCATTCGCCTCGAGCGGCTGGAACGTGTAATTGCAATAGAGATTCTTGGCATAGCCCTTGGGATAGCCGGGACTGCTGAGCACCTGTGGCTCGGCGGTGGCTACCAGAAGGCCGCCACAGTTGCGCTCAAAGCGGGCTGTGAAGCCATCGCCCGTTGTGTCGCCGTCAGACCGGAAGATCAGTCGCATCGACGAGCTGGTCGAGTTGATAAAGTCCGGCGTATTGCGGCCGCACAGCGTCTGCAGATCCGTCCAGTTGCCAGCGTCCGCGTCCGCGTCCCCGCCCACATTATCGCCGCGCTGCTGGACGCGCAGATAGTCCTTGGTGCAGCCATTGCTATCCTCAATATAGAAGCGTCCCAGAAACGATAGCCCAATATGAAAGCCTGGCTCGGTCTCAATCTCCCAGATGCACTCGACATTGTTTTTGTACTGTTCACTAAAGTCAATGTAGCGATAGGGATAGGTGAGGCGGCCGCCGCAGCCGCTGCCATATTTGACGGTCACATTGAAGGTGGAGTTGTGATTGGCATTGGCTGGCGATTCCACATGGTATTCGAGGAACAGGCCGCGCTCCACAACCAGATTGACGGACGTCGCCTGCTGGCAATAGCGACCCATCAGCGGCGAGTTCTGATCGGGCCCGCTATACAGCAACAGATAATGGAGCTCACAATCGCCGTCGAGATTGAGACTAACGGCCACCTCCAGCTGGACATCCTGGGGCGAGAGTGGCTCCTCGGCCGTTTGATCGGGCCCAACGGCCCAGGCACAGTTGATCGTCTCCTCGCCAGACAGATGGCTGGGCTGCGTGATGGTGAGATTATCGCCGGGCTCCAAAGGCAGTACGCCACCGCAGCGCTGCAGGCTGTAGGCCAGCTCCAGCAGATTCATGTTATTGCGGCGACTGCCCGTAACGGTCATATCAACGGGGAATGGCAGACGCACGCTGCGATTCGCCTGGCTGGCGGCGCGATCGCCGCAGAGAAACAGCGGCAGCAGCGGCTCACCCTCGTCCGGGCGGACCAGCTTGAGGGGCGTCATCACGCGGCACATGTGCTGATTGCTCATGAAGACGGAGCTGCTGTTGTAGCGTCGCACCTGCAGCAGCAGCGTGCTGTTCGATGGCGGACGCAGCTCGTAGCTGCAGTGCACCAGGCTGCTCTCGTTGCTGCGGCTGAAGAGCATTGTGGAGCTGACATCGAGATCGAGGCGTCCGTGGCATTCGCTGCGGCCGAAGGCGATGAAGCGCAGCTTGATGCCGCGATGCTGGCTGAAGGGCAGCAGGAAGGCATCAATGCCCATTGTATTATCCGTGGAGAGGACCTCCGCGGGCGGATCGTGCATATAGCGACCAATCACAGACTGCATCTTGTGATCGTTGGAGAACGAGATGCGCCCGTGGAAGCTGGTGTGCGTGCTATTGGAGCCGCCTCCCCCATTATCAAAGTCCAGTATCTGGACCTTGACGCG